CGGCAGGGCCGGGCCAGGCCGGGCTGAGGGTGGGGTCCGCCCCGGGATGGGCCCCGAGGGCGACGGGAGGCCGGGCCGCGCCGCCTCCCCTCAGCGCCTGCTTCGTTAATTAAGATGCCTAAGACGTCAGTGTGCCTTGGGAAAGAATCCACTCTTTCCTGTTAGCCCACAGCCAGCCGCGGGGTCAGCGCGATGGCTGCGAAGGCACCCCGCTAATTACCGCTGAGTAATGGCAGGGAGGAAGCTGCCCGAGGCAGGGGGGGTCTTCCTGGAGCTCCCGCCAGGGACTGCTCTGGAGCAGGGTTAAGACTGAACACTGAGGTACTTACAGTCCCCTGCGGAGGGTTCAAGGGGCCCCTCGGCCCCTCGGCGGTTGGGTTGTGTGCCAAAAGCCTGAGGCGCACAGTCCATCGCCGTTTTCCAGCAGGCAGAGCACAGGGTTGGCTTTGGGGCCGGGGACTGCCCGCTGAACCTCCACCCTGGCAAGCCTGAGCACAACAGGGGGAGGAGGGAAGACGGAGCAGCATGAAACAGTGCCTCGCTGTAACCTGAGCGTCCTCCTTCCCCAAGGAACACGCAAACGCTGGGAAACTGGTGCGAGACCGGAGGGGCGAAGGTTCCGTGGGACACAGAGGCCTGTCTCCGTAGAAGAGCTCTTCGCTTACCTTCTCAGGGTGCTAACAGTGGGGCTTCCAGGATGCCTATTACAGTGGGGCTTCCAGGTTGCTTATTTCCCTGGTAAAAAAGCTTTTTTTTTGTTTTTATTCTGAGTGAAAGTCTCTTTTCTAGTGTATTTTATTCTGCTTCAGCCTGGCTCAGCTTTCTGCCCGGCGGTTGAGCGAAGAGCAGCCCGGCTAGCAGTGCTGAGGTGGGGTCAGGGCTGCTGCTCTTGGCTGCCTCAAGCAAGTTGCATTAGTGCCACCACAGACAAAATCCTCCATTGCAGCCGTGCTGAACCACCGCTCCAGGCTAATCAAGGGCTGACTTCCATCACAATCAGTGGAAAAAACACCCTTAAAACAGAGCTGCACCTCGCGCGGGTCCCACGCTTTCCTCCTACAGGCTGCAAGGGCAACTGAAGCCAACCCTTGTCCCAGCCGTCTGCCCCGCGTTCCCTCAGGGTAGTGCCGAGGGTGGCGATAAACAACCCTCCACGGAGACTTCCTGAGCGGGAATAAGATGAAATCTGGTTGCTGTACTCGTTTTATTATTTCAGTTATTACAGATAAGCGGAAAACACCGCACAGAAGGCCAGAGCAAGGGCTGTCCTGATGCCATTTACAATACGATGGAACCATGCATTTGCACCCAGATTTGCTGATAACTAGCACGTTTTCATCTGTGCTCTCCCAGCGCAGGGCACAGCAGGCTTCCTCCCCGTTCTTTGAGAAGAGGGAAGGGGAGAAGTTTACCTCAAAGTGGCGGGGAGTTCTGATGGGAGCACGTGACAGGGACAGGGCTGTGCCAAGTGAAGGAAGCAGGTTCAGCGAGTGAAACCCTTAACCGTGCAAGCACCACGCCTGGGGGAACCTGGCCAAGTGCCCGCAGCAGTTCAGAAACATGCTCCAAGCGTCTCGGTCCCATATCGTGGCGGTCGTTAAGCAGCAAAGAGGTACAATCATGCCTTGGCAGACTAGTGCAGCTAGAGATGTACACTGAGTTTGACTGGATTTTATTCCTGTTCCTTGAGTCCCAAGCAAACCCAGTAGTGTAGAGCAGAGGTAGGACATGGAGAAGGAAAGAATTTCATGTTACCAGAGAAGTGAACAGGTTGATCTCCTGGAGGACAAAGGCCGTGCTCTGCTCGAGCACGCTCAGACCCTCTTGGCCTTACATCTAGCAACAAGGGTTGGATCCAGAACCAGCAGAGCACTCCTTATTAAGTCCTACTAGAAGAGAAGCACAGATCTCGCCGGAGAAGCTGCCCTCCGGTACCCACTTCCACATCAGCACCATCAGCTTGTTTCAACACCCAGTTCAAGGAGTACAGACTAAAGCCCCATCCATCTTCCAGCTAAATAAGACTCTGTTGGCACCCCTCCGCGCAGGAAGCAGTGCTGATGCCTGTGCAGCCAACAGGACAGTTGTACCTCCAGTGACAGCTGAAACTCGTCGTGTCATCTCCGATGTTGAGGAAAAGTAGTGGAGAGTTTTTTGCAGGACGGCCACTCTGGAGACCCAGCGGACAGCTGCCTACTAGTGAACAGTTCTTTCCTTCTGTCTCTGGTAATCTGGAAGGGAAAGAGAAGGCAAGGCTGAAAGGGCAGGAGCGGCAGTCGCTGATGGCAAGGGGGAATTAGCCAAAACGTTAAAGGGAAACATATATTCCGTTTATACCTCACGAAGCAGAGGCAGCGTTTGCTACCCTCTCGGGTGGCAGCTGGCTTTAAAATAGCACATTCACACCCCAGCCAGTCATTTCAAGTTACTTCAGGGCATTTAGAACAAAAGTCTGTTTAAAGTCCTCTCTTCCCCTGCTCCATATTTTTCTTCTTTCTTCACTTAAGGGTCACTTGCCATTTTATGAGGAATCCTTGTTTGGCTTGACTTGACCTCTATTTTTACCCCCCTTATACCTATGAACTTTATGGGTGCAGAAACCGAGTGTTAATACAGTCTTTTCCCTCACGCAGAATTTAAACGTCCTTATGGAGGGATAAAAACCACAAGCAGCATCCACCATCGGCATAGGTCCGCTAGCGACAGAACTAATTGCTGCGTTATTCAAGGATAAGCAGCGTTTCCCACAGCTCTAAAGTCAACACTTCCACCCAGCAATCATCCCAGCTTTTAGCGCTGTGTCGCTAAGCTCCGCTCTACAAGTTTTTCTATGGGGACAGCTGAAGCCAGTCCTTACTGTTTTGACTTGGTAGCTGTCCTGATCCCCAAATCAAAGGCCAACGTTTTCTGATCTGCAGGCTGCTGACTTAACACCGTCTGCGACCTTAGACTCATAACCGCTAAGCTCAGGTGGAATCGGCAGGGACGCGTGGCAGTCTGCTTCCCAAGGAGAAATGATGCTAGGTGACTGGACTCGGAGCTAGCGGGCACTTACTGTAGGGGAAGTAACGCACGCGCATGGTGATTTCACGGGCCGTCTTCAGGATCTCCACAGCCTGAAAGCAGAAAGAGTTGCTCAGTGACCAGACTGGGCTGGAGGATAGGAAAGAGGAATGCATCGGTTACGTGGTGCCACCAGCTGAGTTGGTGCAGGCTGAGAGGCCGGAAGAAGACGGTGTGTGCACGGACTCCCCGTCCTGCCCCTGCTCCAGCAGCTGGGCCGCAGGAGCGCTCACCTTGCTGTGCTCAATGTCCTGGAAATCCACGTCGTTCACCGACAGCACCTGGTCCCCTTCCTGCAGCCCAGCTCTGTGCGCATCCGAGTCAGGGATCACCTGTGAAGGGAAGAACAGAGACAGCAGCAGTGACTCTCCGCACAGCCGGTGCCGCAGCTCCCCTCCCACGCAGCTCCCCTCCCGCGCAGCCAGGACAGCCCAGCCCCAGAGCCTCCCCACGGCGCTCACACGGGACTGGGGAGGATGGGGAGCGGGGACTGCGGTGCGCCAGCAACACTCCGTGGGCTGGGGAGGGATCAGGAAACGGTGCGGGACCGTCTGATTGCTGCTTGGTGCGTGGCAAATTACAGCTGTGAGTGTGGAGGCGCACATCAGGCATATGACGGCCTCCCTGCACACCCAGCTGGCTCAGCAACACCCAAGGGAACAGACAGAGCACGGGGAGGGAACGGCAGAAGGACAGACACACCTTAGAGATGAAGATCCCCAGCTGCGAGGCTTTTCCTCCCCGGATGTTGAAGCCCAGCTGTGAGAGAAACCAGCAGCGTTAACGCAGTCACCCCCTTTGGCCCAGGACCCTTCCCACCGGATATGTCCCTCTTCCGGACGGAGCAAAGGTGTTGGTGCTGCAGCGTCCAGCCGGGCAGCAGCAAGCACCCGTCCCTCTCTCCTAACTTCCGTGGCCATCTCACCTTGAACGCTGGAGGGGCCCCCTGCTCCCTGCCCTTCATCAGCTCCACGTCACAAGATACTGGGACTCCTCTGCCTCACCCACAAAGCTTTCTTCTCCCTTTACGGCAGGGCCCTTCCCAGCAGGGCAGGAGCAATGCCTCCCCTCGCCCCTCCCGTCCTACCGAGTCCCTGGATGAGGACAGCACCGGGAACCTGCCCGACC